ATTTAGAGACATTATTTGTTTGGATTCAGATTCGAAGTGTTCAGTGATCACAAGAGTCTGAAGTATTTATTTAATCAGAGGGAATTAAATATGAGGCAGAAATGATGGCTCTAATTTTTGAAAGACTATGATTTTAACTTGAGTTACCATTTGGGTAAAGGTAATGTTGTAACAGATACATTGAGCAGGAAGTTGCTACATATGTCAATATTGATGATCTGAGTGTTAGAATTGATTGAGCAGTTCAGAGCCATGAGTTTAGTATGTGAACAGACTTATAATAGTGTAAAGATGGGTATGTTGGAACTGATAAGTGCTATCCTTGAAGAGATCAGATAGGGTCAGAAAGTTGATGTGGGATTGGTTGACCGACTTGTGTTAATCAACCAAGGTAAGGGAGGTGACTTCAGAATTAACGAGAACGATGTGATGAAGTTCAGAGATAGAGTTTGTGTACCAGATGTACCTGATCTTAAGGAAAGTATTACTGAGGAGGGTCATAAAAGTGGCTTGAGTGTTCATCTTGGTGCCACTAAAATGTATCAAGACTTGAAGAATTTGTTTTGGTGGCCAAGAATGAAGAAGAAAGTAGCTGAGTTTGTGTGTGCTTGTTTAACTTGTCAGAAGTTGAAAATTAAACATTAGAAGCCTTTGGGTCTGATGCAGCCGTTAAGTATTCTAGAATGAAAATGGGATAACATTTTCATGGATTGCGTAATGAGTTTTCCGAAGAGGAGAATGGATGTGATTCTATTTAGGTAATAGTTGATAGATTGACTAAATCGGTTCATTTTATACTGATTAAGATCAGTTATCCTTTGCAGAAATTGGTTGAGTTGTACATTATGAATATTGTTAGTTACATGGTATTCCGTTGAGCATTGTTTTGGATAGAGATTTGAGGTTCACATTGAGGTTTTGGAAAAATTTTCCAGAGGCGTTGGGTACTAAGATAAAGTTGAGTTTTGCTTATCATCCAAAGATAGATGGTCAAACAAAGAGGACTATCCAATCCTTTGAGGATCTGTTGATGGCTTATGTGCTAGAACAAAGAGGTGCTTGGGATAGCTACTTGCCACTAATCAAGTTCACTTAAAATAATAGTTTCTACTCAAGTATTAGATGGCTCTGTTTGAGGTGATGTATGGTAGAAGGTGTAGGACACCTTTGTGTTGGTATGAATCTAGCGAGAGTGTGGTAATTGAACATGAAAATGTGCAACAAAATTCTAAGAAGATCAAGATGATCCAAGAGAACATGAAAGCTTCACAGAAACGCCAAAATAGTTACCATGATAATAGGAGGAAAGTACTTGAGTTCCAAGAGGGAGACCATGTATTTTTTAGAGTTACTCTAGTAATCGGTGTTGGTCGAGCTTTGAAGTCTCGAAAGCTTACGACACGTGTTGTTGGTCCATACCAGATATTGTATAGGATATGAGAGATGGCCTATCATATTGACTTGCCACCGTCGCTTGCTAATCTTTGTGATTTGTTTCATGTGTCTTAGTTGATGAGATACATTTTAGATCTGTCTAATGTGATCCAACTGGATGATATATAGGTAAGATAGAACTTGACTATTAAGGAATTTCCCATGCAGATAGAGGATCGAGAAGTGAAGTAGTCGCGTGATAAAGAGATTTCCTAGGTGAAGGTAGTGTGGGAAATACTAGTAGGTGAAATCATAACTTGGCAGCTGGAGAGCCAGATAAGAGAGTCGTATCCGACTCTGTTTCCTTCAGATGATTTTTGAGGACAAAATTTGTTTCTAAGTGAGGGAGAGTTGTAACACCCAAAATTTGATTAAATAATTGAATTAAATGATTGTGATTTATTTTATTTAATTATTTGACGTTAGTGTGCTTTTAAATTAATAATATAATCTTATATGTTGATGAGGTGTACTGTAATTATGAGGGTATGGTGAGTAAATAGAATAAGTTGAATAATAATTAGAATAATTAAAATTTTAATTATTATTATTATTACCATAAATAAAATAATAAATTGTATAAAATAGGAGTTTGAGCCAATTATGGGACTTGAGGAAAGTTTGGGGTGGAGCAGAGAAGCTAAGGTTAAATTGGAAAAAATAATAATTAAAAATAAAGGTGATGTGGGTACTATATATTCTAAAATTTAGAGAGAAGATAGGTCTTAGAGAATTTGATAGTACGTGAAAATAAGAGGCAAAGGAGAAATAAGGTTTTTGGGGAAGGAGAACTAGAGTTGGGAAGAGGAATCCATAGAGGTTGTGCAATTCATCACTTTGTTGAAAAATCAAGGTAAGGGGAGAGAAAGGGCTACAAGCTAGGTGTATTGCATGATGGGGGTAGTGATGAGAAGTTCTTAATCTCATTAAGGCTCTAAGTTTTCTTTTGGTGACTTATTATATGATGAATTTTCTAGAATTGGTTGATAATTTTGTGTTTTATAAGTGTTGTTATGAATGAATCAATGTTTGAATAATCATGAATATATATGTATGATGTTTTACCATTTATGAGGGTGTGAAAGCTTGAATTTTGTTCATGATGATGAGAATTTTGTTGTTGTTGAAATTGATGATGAAATTTCTATGAATTATAGTGAAATAGATGATTTATGTGTTAATGATTATGCTAGTATGATTCACCGTTAAAAATCATGTTTGAGTATGTTAAATTTGTATGAATTAATTGGAATTATATATGAGTGTTTTGAGATGAGATGGGTGAAGATTTGGAAGAGAAACTGAGATTTTTGGAAAAAAAAAAACTGTAGTGTCAATCGATTGACATTTCCAGTCAATTGATTGTATGCCTTCAAAAAGTGATAAAATAAGCAGTGCGGTCGATTGCAGAAGGATTACAATTGATTGCAATGTCTGGAAATGTATTTTTGCAAAGTAAGTAGCTAGACGTACGTAATGACAATTGATTGACATCCCATGTCAATCGATTGTCATGAGCCAATTTTCCAAAATTCTATTTTGTCTTTTGTTGCACTGGCCAACGATTTTGGTCGTAACTTTCTTTCCGTAAGTCCAAATGAGACGTCGTTCGAAGCTTTAGAAAGATAACGCGCATAGATACCTCATGATAGTGCTTGGTGAATTATTTGAGTGATGGTCATGTAGCTACTGTAGGGATGTTTGTGATGACTTGTACGATTGGTTAGTGAATTATTAGGTTTATACGATGATGTGTTATTGTTTTGGTGGAATGACATGAATGAATGCTTATGAAGTTATATTGGTTGAGTTTTTGTTGTTTGTTATTGTTTGTTGATGTTGTAGCATTGATTAACTGTTGCACATGATGAATAATGTGATGCATAAATGGTGAGATGTGCTTAGTGGACCTTTTGGTGAAAATGCATGTTATTAAGAGTCACGCATCATGGTGTACGGACTTCAGTCCTGTTTTTGTGTTCTATAGTCCTATGGTGGGGACCGGGAGCGAGTATCCAGTTCCAAGTGGGGGTTAATGAAGCGTTGCCTATCGTGATGGTAACGATTTGGTGTGCTCTGGTCCTATGATGGAGATCGGGAGAGATATGAACCTGAGCTTTCATGAATGGCTCTGCATGCATAATGAGTCAGTTGTGGAGTATATTTGCATACATGATTGCATATGTACTTGATTGTTCATGATGTTGTTGATTGAATGTGAATATGTACATGTTGTTGTGAAGGGTGTGAAATTATATGGTTGTAGATTGTGTAATTGAATGTGTTCTTGTTATATGCTCTCTACCTTAGCATTCCTTACACTATTTATATTAGTTTGTTGTTTCTCACCCCATTTGCTTTCAGGACTAGAGTTTATTGATGTAAGTGGAAGTTAGTTTCTAGAGCTACTTTGTTTAGTTATAGAAGTTTTGCTCTGATCCCGTAACATCGGGGTTGGGAATGTTTGGTTGCTTATTATGTTTTGTTGGAGTTTAATTATTTTATTTAGTTTATGTGAAAGGTTTTAAAGATTTGAATATGAAAACTCTTTATTTTGAAAATAATTTATTATAATTTGAAGGTTTAGATTAAAAGTCTGAATTGCAATGTTTTATTATTCAAATAATATTGATACCACTGCAATGATACTCTAAGTGAATGTGAATATGCGATATCAAGTGTTGTATGACGTTGATATTTCCTCTACGCATTTTTGTTAAATGTTTGATTTGTTAAAGGATTTATTGTTGGTGACACCTTAGATTGTCGTGTAAAGCTTAATATATAAGTTTTGGGGTTTAGGGTGTTCCAATCCTTATCCTGGACAATGATAAATGGATTTGGAAGCATTGTAGGAATAATACTTTTTTAATGGCCTCCACTTACCTCTTCTAGTGAGGGATTCTGATTTCTTTTATGGCACCGCTTTCTTTTCAGAGTCATATTTTTCCCTTATTTTGAGTCGTTGGGATCTGTCTAAGATCTTGGTATTTTATTGGAAGTTATTGCATGATAGATGCTCTTCCATGGTCAACCTATTTAGACGACAAGTATTATCAGACACTAGTAAGATTTCCTGTCCATTTTGTAGACTTATGACTAAGACTGTTTTTCACCTTTTTATTACTTGTAAAATAATCTCGTTAATGTGATATAATATTTTTAAGTAGTTAGGATGGTTGGTAGTTATTTACCAAAAAATTTTATTGCACATACCACAATAATTATTTATCCATTTAACTATACCACAATAATTATTTACACATATAACTTCGCTTGAGAAACCTAGATCCCTCAAGCTAATTAATCTCCTAAAACATCATGAACTATCATTTTAAAAAATAGAGAAACCAAATAATCAATTTTTTAAATAAGGAGATTAAAAATTTGAAAAGATAAAAATAAAAGACTAAAAATCATTTAAAAAATAATTTGGGTCATACGGTGCACACAGTATGTACGGGTGTAACTAGCAAAAGTCCTTGTAAATTTCACATTAGAGATTGCCGGTACCGGTGGTGTGGAAAAGGCCACATAACAATCGGCGACTTTGTTGATTTTCGAAAATGGCCTCTCTCCCCGACGAACTTTGGAGCAAAATTCTCGAAATCGGTATCCGAAACAGCACTTTGACCTACAAGGACTTCTGCTGCATCTCTATCACATCCCGCCTCCTTCATCGCCTCTCCTCCGAAGACTCTCTTTGGAACCGCTTTCTCTCCTCCGACTTCCCTCTTTCACCTTCTTCTTCTCTTCCTTCTTCTTCTTCCAAATCCCTTTATAAACTCAGGTAATTTTGAAATCCTGGATTTATGAATCTTTATTCTTTGATTTTTGCATCTGGGTCTAGTAAAGTTCATTTTTTTAATTAAATTGATTTATACTTTCTTTCGGTGTTTAGGTTTGAGAGAGACAAAGAGAGGAAAATAGCAGCTCATAGGAGGGCTGTTCTGAGAAAGGAGAGCCAGATTTCCGAACATTCTAGAAGGCTCCATGATATTCAGAAACTCGTGTCTCAAGAAAAAATCAAAGCTATTCAAACTTCTAATGAGTTCTCCTATTTACTTAGGGTCAGGTACTACATAGGATTTGACCAATTGTTCTTGTTGTGAATTGTGATTATTATAGCATTATAGGCCTATTGCATTTATTAATATGTCTTGGTAACTTTAGTGTGTTCTGTTGATATGAGATTTGTGGTTGTTTTTTTTTTTTGTAGAGAAGCTTCTGTGGCTTTGAATGTATGGCAACCCGAGGTTGTCCGGGGTCGGCAAAAACAGATGGTGGAACAATCTGGTGTGCCTGCGGAATCTCGGATTCGTACACTGGAGATGGAACTCAGGCTTTGTAAGCAACAGATTATGGGGTTGGAGAAGTCTCATGTAAGTGTTGATGTTAGTGTATAACATGTTATCTATGAAGGGGCAAGAGTAGTTGTTAGTGTTACTTATACAAAATTGTACCCAGAGAGACGAAAAACGCAGGCTTGATGCTGCAAAGAAAGAGTTGGAGTCTATGAAGTATCATCCTCTTCCGGAGAATAAGCCTGTGAGTGGAGGGGAGAGTGAACGGATAGTCAAGCAAAAGAAGTTGAAAAGCTGCAATAGCTGTGAGTCGGACATCCTTAGTTATTATATTTTGATTATTGCTTATGTTGGAAGTGCATGCTCTTTTCGGTCATTTGTCTCATTGTTCAGTTTGGTTGCAAACACTAAGCTACCTTCTTTGATTGTGCAGTGCGTGAAAAACAATACAAAACACAATGAGTTGACGTCCATCTTGCAACAAGGTGTTGTAATGCTCTCATTCTTCAGAAGGCAAGCATAACGGTTCTTATTTGTGAGTTAGCTGTTTACCAACTGACTATTGCAATGTAAATTGATTATCAGCCTCCAAAAGAAGGACAACACAAGTTCACAATAATGTTAAAATTATTCTTGCTTTTCTTAGGATTCCTTACATATTGAAAATTCGGCTCGCCATCTTTTACTTATTAATAGGGGTTTTCGTTATGAGGCTCGGTTGTCAATCATTAACTAGTGCCTGTGTCGGCATTGTCTTTCTCTAATACAGATCAAGAAGAATGCTCTATGGCTTTACATTTAAGAATTTGATGTTATTGATGCAACACTGTGCTCTGCTGCTACTAGTAAATATCATATTGTACAAACTCTGCTGCTACTTATATGTACATTTGTGCTGTTTGTTGAGAGAACTTATATGTGTTAAGCTTCTCGAAAGTAAAGGTGGATAAGCTTCTCGAAATAGAGATGTCACTTATCAAAAATAAAGGTGGATAAGCTTCTCGAAAGAGAGATGCGACTTATCAAAAATAAAGGTGGATAAGCTTTTCGAAAGAGAGATGCCACATATCGAAAATAAAGATGGATAAGCTTCTCGAATGAGAGATGCCACTTATCGAAAATAAAGGTGGATAAGCTTCTTAAAAGAGAGATGTCACTTATCGAAAATAAAGATGGATAAGTTTCTCGAAAGAGAGATGCCGCTTATCGAAAATAAAGATGGATAAACTTCTCGAATGAGAGACGGCAGGAGTTGTTAAGTGAACTTTTGTGTCAGTTTTCTTCTGTTATATAGTACTGATCAAGACTATATAAAAGTTATGAAATTAGTTAGTTGAGAATCTTACAAAATATGTAGAGCTGAGTTGATTAAATCTCTCAAAAGGAGAAAACTTTGGAGAGATTTATCTCTTTTTGCTCCAAAAAAAAACATGTCTAATTTAATTACCCTTTTAGTGTATCATAAGTAACGGCATTTTTAAACTACATATATTTCTTTCTTATCATTTTTAAACTACGTATACTTCATTCTTATCTTTTTGCTATGCTAGCGTAGAGTAGGTGAAATTTTCCACCAATATTTAAAAGTCTTTTGAAATTTAAAAAATATTTTTTGTATTCTGGGATTTATGCTAATGTAAAGTGAAAATTCCCTCCAATATTTTCAAAAATCTTAGCATTTTGTAGATAAGTAAAAACTCAATAAACAAGGTTCACGAGAACTTCAATTAACATTTGTAACATCAAAAACATCAATCTCTTTGATAAATTTTTTAGTTTTTGTGTAAATGAGTAGAAATTCATGATTAAAGTTAGAAATGAGTAAAAATGTCATTTAAAATAATTTAGACATAGTGTATTAGACGTTTATTGGCTTAAAAGGATGATCAAAGCTTTTTTTTTTATTTTTTTATTGCACGGGTACTTTAATACCATTGACATAACTTTTGAGTTGCATAAAATTTCGGAGATGCATCTCTGCAATATTTCAATGTTTTAATTTTTCACATTCCAGAGATGCATCTCTGAAAGTTTCTGTAGTATTTTTTTTATTTTCTTACTTGTGGTGTTGTTTTTCTGCACTAATTGTTAGCTCTACTTTAACTTACAAGTATAATAGCTGATAGACACGATAGACTGAGGCATGTGAAGGTTGTTTAGCATGAATCAGTATGGCGGAAGAAGAGTCAGCAGGTTCCAGAGACTCTTGATCCCTCTGGTCATGCAAAGTCATCTACTTTGAGGGCTCCTACTTCTCATCATGCTACTTCATCTTCTTCTTCCTGTATGAGACGGATTCACCATCTGACGTATCATTCCCTCCATCCTCTCGCAGGCGCCAGTAGGGATGGCAAAAAAGCCCGTGCCCGCGGGTATCCCCGGATATAATCTGTCACGGATACAATGTGGATAGCTTAATGGATATTCATTGATAAAATAAATGGATATTTAAATATCTGTTATTTAATGGATGTGGATGCGGGTTTAATGATACCCGTACCCGCGGATATCCATACCCGTTAATAAATTATAAAAAGTATTTAAATATTTTTAATTTATTATAGACGTCATTACATCTTCCAAGAAATTTAGTCTTTTCATATTTCTTTTTTTTAACGTTTTCTTGGAAGAAAAAGAAAACCTTTCACATTCCAAGAAAAATCATATTTAGTCATTTTATATTTATTTAGGCTTCTTCTATATTTTAGACCTAACATCTCTTTCACTTTCACAATTTCACTGTCCAACACTGCAACTCAGAGTCCTAATTTTCTAAATGATTAAGGTAATCTATCTACCTTGTTACATTTTGTTCTTGTTCTTGCTATTTTAATTTTAATTTTGGTTGTTGCAACACTGAAGTAGTAATAGGTGGGGCTGCAAAATAGTTTCTTATTTTAAGACAATTATAATGCAAAATACTAAACCCTAAACTAGTAAAAAGAAGAAGCACTATATACATTCTTTTTCGTTTTATTGATATAAAAATAATATTCATGTGTGCCTATTCTTTCCATCTATAGGCTCTTTTATTTATTGTTATATTCATGTGTTATTAATATATGCAATGAAATATAATCACACTATATCAAGTAAATGATAATTTTTTCTCATTATAGGTTTTCTCATATCTACGTTATGCATCTTTATAGGTTTCTTTGTTTTTTTATTTTAATGTAAACGTTTAATTTAGGAGTTAGGAAACCAAAGTATGAATGTTAAGCAAGGAATGCATAATATGGAATTTTGTAATGATTGATGAAAACTATTTGCATTATTACTTTTTGTTTTATTTAAACAATTATTATATGGTATGATGAATTTTATTTTGTTAAAAATTAAATGTATGGATATTATGTTTGAATGTTATTATGTTTTAGTGAAAAAAGAATGAAAATAATATGATGAAGTTTAGTTGTTAAATTGAGAGCGAAAAAATATTTTTAAAAAAAATAATTTTAGACAAAAAAAGTTATTCATGGATATCTGTAAATATTCGCGGATACCTTAAAACCTGTGGATTACCCGCTTAACTGATATCTGCATGGATATGGGGCAGATACGGATATCATATTTATCCAACGGAGCAGACACGGATATCATACTATCCGCCCCCATGAATATCCATTTACATCCCTAGGCGCCAGGTTCCTCTATTCAGGCGTCTGAGATACCCGATTCACCAATGTCACCTCCTATTGTAGATGCTACTAATCTAGTATCACCTCCTAATGTTGATGTTGATGATCCAGTGCCACCTCCAGAGGGTGAGGCTGTTGTGGATGCTGAGTCAGAGACATTTGGAGGAGGCCCTGTTGATTTGTCATTAATGTCTCTGTATCCAGACCATACTATCAGACATATCTAGGATGGATAGGTAGCATTAGTTAGATTCATTGTTTTTTCTACGTTAATTGTAATCGAAAAATTTTCTCACATTAATTATTATGTTTTTCCGGAGCGTGATCTGTAGAAGTTTATTAACCACGGGCGGAAGATTGTTGGCTTGCCTCAACCGAATGAGGATTGATTTCAAGCAATTTTTTTCTTATCTGGCTTGGAGGACTTGTGTATGACTGATTATACTATGGTTAACTACGAGATGCTTAATGCATTCGTGGAGAGACGCCACTCGAAGACCTCATCATTTCATCTCTTGCATGGTGAGATGTTTATCATACTCGACAATGTCTCGTGTTTGCTACATTTTCCTATCAGGGGGAGATTCTTAGATCATGGAAGGATTACCAAAGACAAGGCACTCGAGATGATGGAAGACTATCTAGGGGTTGATCCAGAGGAGGCGAATGAGGAGTTCAATAAGATCATGGGTGTTCATGCTAGATTTGAATACTTGAAGAAGATATATGTGGCTGAGATCTTAAAAGCACAACAAGTTGTAGGTGATGATGAGCAGGTGGTGTTCCACAAGTTGCATGTTATGAGAGCATATCTGCTATATTTGGTTGGTACTACGATTTTTATGGACACGGGAGCCACTTATACATATGCCCTATATCTACAGTACTTCGAGCGGATCCATGAGTACAATTGGGTGTTGCTTGTTTGTCCTACCTGTACTCGAAGCTTAGAGAGACCTATATGTGAAAGACGAAGTAGTCCACAGGCACCGTCACACTATTGACGGTATAATTATTGGTCTTTGAATGTTTCTTTGTTATTTTCATTTCATCTTTGCAAAGCCACTATTGATGATTCATGTGTTCTAAACTTTTCATTTCAGGCTTGGATCCTCCGGCACTTCCTGCGCGTCTCTGGCTGAGCGAGTGTGTTGTCTTACATTGAGGATATGCCTCGTGCTACTAACTTTTTCCCTGTTCAAATGGAACGAGGAGACCGAGCCTTATAGAATCTATCTTAACCATTTGGTTGCTGAGGACATGCACTTCAACAGATATGTTGATCACCGTGAGACGTGACCATTTGGCGAGATAATGTTATACTCTTGATGGTTGTCTTTCGGATCGCGTCTTACTGCTCCTCATCTACCCGAGTGTATCATATGATAATTCGACTGCACTCAGACCATTCTCAGACACCTTGTTCTCTTTACTCCTCCTACCTTGAAGCGTAGACAGATGGATGACATGTTTGATAATTATGAGAGCCATCTGATACTAGAGGAGACACGGAGTACCCATAGTTGAGAACGACTAGAGCCACGTCAAATGGTACATCAGATGGTTCTTCAAGGTGTCATATTCGTACATAGTGCATGCTGCTCTAGGAGATCTGTCGAGGCCAACTCATAGGAGGACCAGACGCAACTAGATCATGCTAAAGATGTCTTGTCTATGTGTCGTCGCATAGTGGAGATTGCGTAGGCATGAATTGACACAGGTATCTTCCCTAATGGTTTGATGTGAGGCAAGTCCTAAATGCCATCATGACGGAGGCACGAGGAGTATTGTTGTATTGGAGATAACGCTAGAGGATAGAGG